AACCCCCTTTCTGCAGTGAGGGAGAGCGTGTCCCGGTGGGGATCAGCGACTGAAATCTCTTGGCTGGAGAGGAAAGAGGTGGGAAAGGTGACCGGTTCCCAGCAACTCAGACCCCGGCGGGAGGTGAGGCAGCCAGGTCTCCGCTTCACTCTTCTCCTCTCTCGGCAGCAATGGGCTCCTTGGTCCACTTGTCTGTGACCTCCTGGTTGCCCGCGTAGCCCACGTCGGGCAGCAGGCCTGGGGCTCCCTCCCCGTCCCCAGTGACCTCCAGGTCCAGCTCCTCGAAGGAGGCGCCGCTGGCTCCCGACCCGCTGCAGCCGCTGCGGTGGGCCGCCTCCTCCCGGCCACGGCCGGCTGGGAAGGGCAGCAGGATGGAGGTGGCCACCGAGGTGTCCCTGCTGTCAGTTGTGGCCTCAATGCTGATGGAGCTCGTCTCACTCATCGTGTCGGCCCCTGGGATGGAAAGAGAAGGGGAAGCAGTGAATGTTGCGGGAAGGAGGCGATGGGGATGGGGTGCCACAGCCTTCAAAGCCACTAGAAAGAGACGTCAGATCACAGCGCAGACCAGCTCCTACCTCTAGTCACCTCCAGTGTCTTTGAGAAGTGACTGGGCCAAGACAAGGACGAGCTCGACTTGAGCAGCTCCCTGTAATCAGGGCACGCCCAAGCTGGCACAAACAACCCTTGGCTTCCCAGCCGTGCCCTGACCTCCTGGCCGTGCCCAGACCCCACTGCTGCTCTCCATGCACACACCGAGGACTTGGCAAGCCCTTCCTTAGGGAGGATGCCCGGCCTGGGAGCTGGCGGACAACCCTGCCCCCAGCATGGCACCAGGAACGAGGCGAGGAGTGGGATGCTGTGCCACCAGGGTGATGGGGAGCTGCAGCATTGCCTGAGCACCCGAGGGGAAGGTGGCAGGTGGGCAGGTCCTCGGATGTGCCGCTGTCAGAGGCGGGTGTACGTCCAGCTTCACGCCAGGGCATCCAGAGCTGCCTTCAGCATCCCCTATAACCTGCTCCCGCTCCTGCCCCCCCCCCGCCGGCTCCGGCAGCAGTGCGAGGGCAGGCAGGGCAGTGGCAGACGGGACTCGGGGGCACAGGGGACGGGGGGAGCCTTCCCAGCTCGCTCGGCAGTTCTCCACGTCAGCCGGCTGCCAGTCCACACCACAGAGCCCCCCCAGGGGCTGCCCCTGCCTGCCCGGGTGGACCCCTCAGCCCAACGCCCCCTCCTCGGATCCCTGCCTCATTAGCTCAGTCGACAACACAATTAAGGAGTCGACAACGAGACGAGCGTGTCAGATTGAGACCAGCAGCTCGGTGCTGTTGCCAGAGCAACCAGCCGGGAGACAAAACCCTCCTGTAAAACATTAATCACTGTTAATTATGACATCACAGATCCACGTGGTTAATTATGACATCACAGATCCACGTCATTGATTACAACATCGCAGATCCATGCTGCCAATTATGACAGCAGCAGCAAGCACTGGGCAGGCTCCTCCACCGCAGCCCTTCCCGCTCCGCTGTGCTCCCACCCGCCCCGCATCAGCAGGCAGCACGTGCCAGGCTCGGCCGCTTCCCGGCCCCTCTG